GAAGTCGTCGGTCCGGCCGCTAGCCGTGATCGTTTTGAATTCGCCCTTGCCTAGATCGGCAGTCATGAGGAACTTATGGGAGAGCGCTGGTAAGTGTCGAATCACTCAAGCGGTCTGTTGATGATAAATCGAACGATAAAGTCTGAGTTCCTGAACTCAGACGTAACTTCCACGGAAGTCGAAATCATCACAGCCTTGTAGCCTTCCCAGTAGGGGAGTCAACTCTTCCGAGTTTCGATGAGATCAGGGTGCATCCTAGCCTTACCTCCTCCTTCACTCTCCGTACGCTCTCCCATTCGTTCGCTATCATCGAGCCTCTTCTGAGGAGTATATTACTACGACCAACAAGCGGCTCATGTTTGCCCATTTGCAGGGGTCCGTATATGTGCTGATGGTGGCTCCAACAGACTCCACGACCAGTTCAGCGGTCGGCTAGTGCCCGACGTGATCATTGGGGATTTCGATTCAGTAAGATCGCTATTGCCGTTTTACTCACCATTGCATTTTCCAATGAAAATCTCGGTCATCGATCGAGCATTTCGAGGATCGGTCAGCTGCGTTGAGAAGATTCCCATGGACAGGTACGACCAGAAGTCATCAAGAATTTCCAATCTTTTAAGCTCGGCTCGCCACTTCAGGTCATCAGGTGTTCTGACGAGGTGAGTAAAATTTATTCGATTTCATTTATTATTTTTAATTTTTTCATGGATTTTTATTTCACATTTTACCAATCGCAGAAATATGAACATAACCCACTACGTGTGCTGATACCGAATAGGAACTTCCCTAGGAAGCCTTGAGCCCCGCTGAGGCAGCTATGTCGTACAAAATCTGAGCTATGTCTCCGACTTTTATTCTCTCAGTGCAACACAGATCTGGATAAGTGCATGCTATATGCAGCCTACCATTACGGCAATCATCGAGATGAGTTTTTCGGGAGTAGGATGACCCCTGTTGATTCAGTCGAAGGATGCGTCTACAGGTGACAGTGTCGATCCCTTGGTTGCTGTTGCTGGATCGATAAACTATGCCGGTCGACTGGACCATACGTTTTCCATTGTTAACTCACTGTTAACGGCAACTCGAGGGCGCTCTAAAGAGAGTGCAGGCGAGTATGCGGTTCACTTTCCAAACAAGGTACAGTTATGGCACCTTCGCGGGCTGATACCAATTTCTGTTCTTCAGTTCCGACCGATTCTCTTCGACCCCGATTGCCTCGCTATGGTGAGTTGACGGCTTCCTTTATATATACTCGCGCTGTTTTTTGGGCAATTGAGTGCATCATCACATAAGTGGGATTACGTCATGGAGCTTTTCGAGCCGAACTCAGCTCTTGTGAATACCTCCAACTGCGCAATTTGAAATCACTCTTTAGACTATCCGTGATTTTATTCGCGACCAGATTTACTGGAAGTTCCCCGTCAGATCCTCCCAGCTGGTGAGCATTCGTTACATTTGGGCAGACCGGAATCTGTACGACCGAACAATCGGTATTACGCTGGGCTGTTGCCCGTGGAAGGTCCAGTACGGTCCTGCACCACAGAGGGGCTGAGGTGAGCTGTTTGAAGATCTAATTTCAAGCTCGTTGATATGATATTGTTTTTCAGGTGGAATTGTGAGGATTATAGACTGGAATTTGGAGGTATTATTTCCTCATGCAATCAGATCAGTGAAACGACAGAGGCAGGCGATTCGTATGACCGCTTCAGGAGTATCATCTCTTTCCTGTCAGTTGATCAAAATAGTAAATTCCGATCCTCTACTGTTCACTATGACTCTCGAGAGCGAGCAGTGTTCGTCGAAATCCTCATCCTCGAAGCGTGTTGACAGTTCTGGTCCAATTGAAGGTTTCAAAAGTTTCTATGCATCCGTTACCGGCCGTGACGAGATCAGAGCACCCGAGTGAGCCGTGGATTTATAACACAAATTCTCTATTGCGTTTCGTTGCGAGAGTTTAGGGAATCGGAATTTACAGTGTGAGTTCGACCGATAAAGTCCATCTTGGTTGCTCTCAGGAATTGAGGAATTCTCAGTAGAGCTACATGCCTCAGGCATGATGATGCTAATCGTAATCATCGGCGAGCAAAGTTTTGATGTTTTAATCATTGAGATTCATTTCATGCATTCGTTCACCTGCGAACCGTCAGAATTTGGAATTTCCATCCGAAGCTCAACTACAGCGTTTGCACACAGAAACACATCCATTATGGTGGCCTCTCGATGGCCTCAACCAATTTTTCAACATCATATCGAACTTTCTCATCATCTGTCCGACCCAGCGTGTACTGGGCGAGCACCATACCACACTCCAACCGCAAAGCGCCTGCCTCCAAAAGCGCGAGGGCCTCTGACACCTCCAGCTCCCTCACAGCCACTAACTGATATATACACCTATTAATCTGCTCTAAAACGATATTAAAACAATCATCGCTTCGCTCCGCTATTTTCAGCCGATTAATCGCTCTATATACCGCTAAAACCTGTGCGGCGTTAAACCCCATCACCACGCCTGTCACCGCCAGCACTTGTCCCAGTTTGCGTATGAATCTCGGATGGGATAAACCTGCCTTACTATATGTTATCAGAAGAGACACCACTTCTGCTACGCTCAAGATACGCTCTCTCTTGCCATCTTGCATTTCCTCAACGCATATTTTATCACAGGCTGCTGCATAATACCGTTGAAACAGCACCTCATCGAGTAGACTATTTCGCAACAGACATTTCGGTACTTCTACAACTTCAAAATTTCTCATCTCCCCCGTATCCTCTTCTTTCAACCTCCGTATGAGCTTTTGCACGCACGCGCAATCAAGAGCCTTTATCCGATCACTGGTGAATCTAGAGAGGCCGATGATCAGCGTAGCAACTTCGGCACGCTTGAGACCGTCCACATCGGTCGCGGCGATGTCAAGGGCGACTCTTGAGAAAGTGAGATGGGCATCATCACTACATCCAAACCGAGTAATAGCATCGACGAAGGCGACGACATCTCGCGCAGTGAAGTCCCGTAGGAAATCGATCACTCGATCGATTATCCCGTGTACGACATCTCGAGAGACGCACCCTCGGCGGTGGCAGATTCGCAGACCTTTAGCGATCTCAGCGAGGCGATACTCCTGCGTTCGGGTCCGCAAATACGTAAGTAGCAACCAGAAAATATCCATCTCGCAGTGCATTCCTGTTCGAACGATAGCAGTCGAATAAGAATCGCAAAACGCCAGAAGTGCCGACTGAAAATGCACAGATGATGCAGTTCTCAAACATACTTGAGATACCCTACACAGATATGCACATGGTCAACTACATGTGTTGGTGACAGCATGGAAATTCTTTTTGGTATAGGAAATTCAGGGCGAATTCCTCTCTGGCTTCTGTACACTTCTACCCGAATTCGTAAGTAAACTTCTATAACTAGTGAGGAACCTCCTGAGCTCAGCTCAGGGAAGCGGACGCATATTCCTCAAACACTACACTATCCTCAAATTCTGCTGAAATGCACGAATTTTCATCCTTTTTATAACAGTGGTAGAGAAATAGTAACGATAAAATTTCCGAGGAAATTTCGTTGTTTTCTGTGATTTTCTACCCGAATTCGCATGCAAAAACTCCCAAACTCAGCTGAGGACAGCACACATATTTCCTAAAACCGCAAACGAATACTACCCCTGGCACAGCCTTCGTCCAGAGGCCTCGCAGACCGTCCTTCTCCTTTCTCCTCCTGGAATCTCTCGCCCCCCTCTCGAAGAGCTCCTTAGCAATACGAACGAAATATTCGGATCGTATGAGGTCCTCACGACGCAATGACAACACTGCTAGGCCAGCCAGAGCTGAGGGTAGTAAAAAGCGGTCAGTGTCGGAGTATATATGCGCATGATCAACTACTACACGAGTTGGAAAATTATTGTTG